CTTCTGGGTGTATACGGGAAAGGAAGGGGCTCGAAGAGACATCTGCGCACCCATGTTCATGGCGGCCCGAGTGTCCATCGAGGGTGGATGGATACGCAACACGTGGTCTGTCCACGCGATGGAGTATTCCTCAGCCTTGAGAAGGAAGGGGGCTCCAACATGTGCTACGACATCGATGGATTTCGAGGCCATTGTGCTAAGTGAAGTAAGCCAGACACAAGACGACAAATGCCGCATGATTCCGCTGACAGGAGAAACTTGGAATAGTGAAGAGCAAAGGGTCAGAAGGTCGCACGGGGGGGCCGGGGCCGGGGTGGGAATGGGGCGTGAGTGGGGACGGAGGCTTATTCTATGAGGTGGTAGTGATGGCGCCCAACATTGTGAAAATGTATTTAATGCCACTGAACTATGTACTTAGATACAATTAAGGTGTCAATTCCGCGTTACGTGCATTTTGCCTCACACATGCACAGACCTTTAAAAGGTAAGTTGGGTATGTTTGCGTGGGTTCTCTGCTCAGTTCCATTGTGGAGTGAGTCTAGAAATTAGGTAGACGATTCCTCCTACCTTTGTCTTTTTCAGAGTTGTTTTAGCGCTTCTGGTTCTGTCTTTTTATACAAATTTTCAAGCAACCTTGTCTCTATCTGCAAAGGCTCTTGCTGGGATTTTAACAGGAGTCGTGTAGAGCTTGTAGATAACTTGGGGGATCAGCGTCTTTTCTGTGTCCAGCCTTCCAATCCACGATCCAAGAACGTGACATGCGTGTCTCTCACCTCATTTCGATCTGTGCTTTTTCTCATCAGCATTTCGTTTCAGCATCTCGGTCCTGTATCTGTCCTGTTAGACTTACACCTAAGTATCGTGTTTATTTGAGCGATGGTAAACGATCCTGTTTGTAAATCAGTGTCTGCGTGTTCATTGCTGGCTCGTGGAAACACGGCTGACATTTTGCTTCTATCTGTCTTGTATGCCAAGACCTCGCTGAGCTCACCTGACGGTTTAGGGAGCTTTCCGTAGACTCCTCGAGGTTTTCTGAGCACCGTTGTGCCGTCGGCACTGACAAGGGACTGTCATTTCTCCTTTCTGACCTGCGTGCCTCTGGCTGCCTTTCCATGCCCTTCGCATGGCTGGGACTGCCAGCACCATGTTGAACAGTGCTCAGTGCAGGCGTCCTAGCCCTGCCCGGCCCTCGGAGGGGCCCTTCAGCAGCGCACGGTGTTTGCGGTGCATCTCCCCCACCGTCCCGTTTTTACCGAGAGATGCTTGACATACACCACTGCGGAAGTTTAAGGCGGACAGCAGGACGGGTCGATTTACATGTACTGTGAAATGGTTACCCCAGCTTCTCACATGCATACAATGGAAAGGAAAGAAAGAACACGCACCGTGCCGAGAACTCTCAGGATTTGCTCTCTTACCTCCCTGCCCGTCACGGGGCAGGTGTAACTGCAGCCACCGTGCCGCGTGGCACACACACTCCAGCGCGCGTCTCGTACCTGGGAGTGTGAACCTTTCGGCCCCGTTCTCCAAGTCCCCTCCCCCACCCCTCGCCTCTGGGAGCTGCAAGTCTGGTCTCTTAATGAGTTTTGTGTTTGTTTGTTTGTTTTCATAGTCCACACATAAGTGAGATGATGCAGCGTTTGTCTTTGTCTGACTTGTGTCACTTAGCATAACGCCCTCAAGGTCCACCCACGTTGTCAGAAGTGGTAGGGTTTCCTCATTTTTTATGGCTGAGTAATATTCCTGTGTGCGTGTGTGCACGTGCGTGTGCATCTGAATTCATCCGCTGACGGGCACTTAGTTTGTTTTCACATCTTGGCCACTGTAACTCAGGCTGCCGTGAACACGGGGCGCAGAGACCTTTCCGAGTGGGCGTCTTCACTTCCTCGGACGTATCCCCAGAAGCGGCGTTGCCAGGTCACGCGGTGGCTCTGCTGTTCATCTTCTGAGCCTCTTCCATGCTGCTTTTCACAGCGCTGCCGCAACAGGTTCTTGAAAAACGTGCTCCTGAGTGAGTCGCAGAAGTTCCCCCTTTTCCTATTTTTCTGAAGGTTTTTATTTTGCGAGATGTTCTTCTGCATCAATCGGCGTGATCATGTGATTTCTTCGTTAGGCTTATTTACATTGGTGGATTCTTGAATATTGACGCAGATTCGCATCCTGAAATTCCCCACTAGTTGCTCATATTTTGTTAAAGCTTTTCGATCTGCGTCCGCGAGGTTGTCGGGCCTCGTGCGTGTGCTAGTACTGTCTCTAGCTTTGGTTTCAGGGTAAGACCAGCTTCACGAGGTGAACGGGTGATGGCCCCCTGCTCTGTTTTCTGGAAGACGTGTGTGCAGTTGGTGTTCATTTTCCTTCATCGTTTGTACGATTCTCCTGTGAAACCGTCTGGCCTGGAGATTTTGTTTTGGGGAATCACCTAAATCACTAATTCAATTTCCCAGGCTGTTACATTCTGTATTTCATGTTGGGCCCGTTGTGGTGGTTTGCGTTTATTCAGAAAGTGGTCCATTTTGTCTAAGTTGTCAAATTTATTTACAGTCAGGAGGTTTTAATAAAGAATCCATTTTTCGTGGATCTTCTGACGTGTGGAGCTTGTCAGTTTCCACGTTTGTAATTCTGACTTCTCAGTTTGAATAAATATTCACCTGTGAACCTCACTTTTTGTGATCATGATTTTAGATGTATCTTTTCCTTAAAGAAGCCCCCCGCTCACCCCCGCGGTATAAGCCAGACCCGCCCAGCCTAGCACGAAGGCGGGGTGGGGGCATGTCTTGCCTTTAAGGAAACTTCACTGTGTGGAGTGGGTTTGGGGCCTCGCCTTGGCTTAGGGCTGGACAGGGAGTGGACAGGGAGTGGACGGGCACTCGGTGCTTCAGCGTGACGCCCCCACGGAAAACACGAGAGGAGACGAGGCAGCTGCATTTGTCCCTGTCTGGAGGGATACCGGCGAGTCCGCCCCCTGTTCTGTCTGCTTTCCTGAGTTCCCAAAACGCCCGTGCTTCCTTTTTCAAAAAAAGGCAGCGAGAACAGGAGCGGCCTAGCAGACCAACTGGGGTGCTGGGGCGGGGGGTCCGCGGCCCCCCACAGCGCTCTGCGCCTTCTCACGCTCTGCGTGCCCCAGCTGGACGCCGCGCGTCTCTGGCAGGAAGCGCCTGCTGATAACGCTGCAGGCGCCTGGTGTGCTGGGCAGTCCCACGGCCCAGGCCTCGCGTGTGGGGCCGCGGCCGGCAGCCTGTAAATAGCGGCCATGAGGCTCCCGGGCTCAGTGTCCTCGCGGGCCCCGGCGGTCAGCACGCCCCTTGGCCAGGTGTGCGGCTCAGGTAGGGGGCGCTCTGCAGGGCGGGGTGGGGGGGAGCAGCGGGCAGATGCCGGGGTAGGGCGGTGACTTCCATACAGGCGGTGTCGGGGCAGGGTTGAGGGGCGGTGGAGACCGGTTCTCAGCCCAGGCTGGGGCCGTGTCCGTCAGCTCAGCCAGGTGCCGGCACCCGCGGTTCCGTTAATCCAGTAGCTCATGGCACAAGCTCTGGAGCAGCTCGGTGACAAGGACCTAGATCTGTCAGTCGTAGGCGAGCAAGTCAGGCCCTCTGAGGTTCATGTACATTCAGAGAGGTGAAGCGGTTTCTTCCCTGATTCCTAGCCCAGTGCAAAGCATGGCTGTGGGGCCAGCAACGTGTCCCTGAGCGGCCAGTGCAGGGTTCAGGTCGGCTTGCTGCCCGCCGGCTGGTGAGGCCATGTGGACAACGGCCAGAATCTGCCCCTGGTGACCAGTAGCTGTGTTTGGGCTCAGTGCCGGGGACCCCGGATGTCAGGATGTCTACTCCTGCCTTATGCAGAGTGGGGGCCTTCTCGTCCCCAATTTGGGTAAGATAGAAGTGTCACAGGGCGGCCCCTCCTGCCGTGACACCTGGCTGCTTGAGCTGGCCATCCTGCTGGGCTGCAGTTAAGTGTGGCTTCTGAATATAGAGGTGAAAGTGGAGGCTGTCGCACGAGCATTATAATTTGCGATGTGATGGAGACACTTTGCCGGGTGGCAGGCAGAATGTTGTCTGAGCTGTCGTGCTGTTCGATTATTTACAATTTTGAGTAAGAGAACACGGATGATTTGCGTAAAGTTAGGGAGAAATAATAGGGAAAGGCCCCTCCTTACTTTTGGGTCTTGGTGATAAGACAAATGTGTGCCACCGGGGCGGACATCTGTCAGTGCCGCAGCCGCGAGGAAGGGCCACTGTCACTCTAGGAAGCACAGCGGTGGGCGGGGCGGGTCCCTCTGCCAGGGCTGCAGGTAGGGACGGCGTCCGCGAGGTGCTGGGCGCTGCCGTCGATTTTTGATGAAACTGTACAATCGCATGTTTGGCAGTTTTTCAGTCTACTTCATTCCTATCACTCCTACTAAATTCCGATCGCATGCCCTGCCTCCCCCGACGGGCCCGGAGCCCCCCGGGATGAGGATGTTGTGCTTGAAGGGCTGGGCGCTGGGGCTTCTGCTGTGACCGGAATCTTCTCCGCTGTGACCGGAATCCCCGCTCCGGGAGGCCGGCCGCCCCTCCCCAGCTCTGCAGCCCGGAGCCCAAGGCGCCTCGGGGCCGGCCCGGGGGCGGGCGGAGGGGACACAGGGACGAAGGAATGGGCAGGGGTCAGAGTGGTGACGAGGCGCACGGGGATCCCTGGTGGCAGCTTATTCCGGCTGTTCCTGCTCCCCCCATCCTGGGAGGTGACGATGGGTCTCCCTGGACAACAGCATGTCCCGCACCCCGCCGTCCCCCCGCGCTGACTTGCTAGCTGCAGAGGAAACCGGCCTGCTCTCCACACCGAGACGTGTAGCTCAGCCCAGCTCACATCGGCGAGCGCCAAGCAGCGGCTGTCCACTGCCGGACGGACTCTGGAGGAGCAGGTGTTCCTCAGGACCTTTCATTGACGTGTGATTGACACGTGGCCGTCGCCGTCACCACTGTGAGGGGAGCCACAACGTTTGCCGCTAGACCGGCGCCGAGCTCGTCATGGGCGAGGACTCGGCGTCACCCTCAGACCAGCCGCAGTCTTCGCGGGTCCCCTCTGCTGGGGGTGCAGTGGACGGGGCGACGCCCTCTGCCCGGCACCGCTGCTGGCACAGCTGTCCCCGAACACGATGCCATCCGGACCCCCGCACCCCACGTGGAGGGGCTCCGTGTGCTGCCGCCAAGCTTCCCTCGCCGGCCGGGGGGAACGTGGTCGTGGTGACGCGGGGCCAGCTGTGTCCTCTGTCCCTACCCGCCCCGCACTGCGGCACTCACGGATGTGATCGGGCCATCAGCGGCCGTCGCTGCATGGGCCGCAATGCCGGGCAGGGAAGGGCGGCCGCAGAGGATGCCGTGAGCCGGGGTCCGGTGTCTCAGAACTGCAGCCGAGCACACGCGGACAGCCGTTTAGGGGCACGCACCTGTGCGACGAGGCTGCGTGAGGGGCAGCGAGGGGCCAGCGCCCTGGGGCGGAGGCCGCGTGGGGTGGGCCCAGGGACGTTGGCACCTGGCGGGGGCTGGTGTGTGAGGCCGGGCGGGCTTCATAGCTTCACGTAACCGTAACACGTCTTTACCTGTGTGACACGTTCGTTATAAAGAGCCGGGAGAAGGGGCTCGGGGCAGCACCTCACAAGGCGGCATCACTGTCAGCTGGGCCGTGGGGACCGCTCGGTGGAGGTTTAAGTCAGCACAGGAGTGAGCCAGTGAGAGAGATGGGGGGAGGGGGGAGGCCGAAACCATGGAGCGGCCGGCTCCCGAGCTCCCTGGCCCCGCAGGGGTGGCCTGCGCAGCGTCACCCCTGTCCCCGGGGGGTGGGGGGGCGGAATTCCGTCACTGTTTACCCCTCCCTTCCTTCAGGAGTCGGTGTCCTGCCAGCACTCACGATGTGGAGGGCTCTGGCCCTGATCAGCCTGGCCTTCCTGTCGCCGGCCTGGTCTGGGGACCCTCAGCAGACGGTGGACGACGCCTGCTCTGTGCAGATCCTCGTCCCTGGCCTTAAAGGTGAGTGTTGCCCGGCCTCCCACGGCGCCCGCCCTGCGTCCCCGGCCCTGTCCGAGTCCCTGTGCCGCCTCAGGGTCTGGCCTCGGGCAGGGCTGCCACCTCGATGGGCCTCAGTTTCCCCATCGGAAAATCCAGGGGTCATGACACCTCATGTCCACTCTGCAGCCAGGATTTCTGTAGTTCTGAAACCGATTACATGCAGCTCGGCTGCTCACAGGGACGCTGACGCTGTAAAGACAGCTGACGTTGTTCCCAGCTCGGCACTCGCTGTCACGTGACCCTCAGAACGCCGTGCCGTCATCTGGCCCTTTTTGCAGATGAGGACATTCGAGGCTCCAGAAATTTAGCAGTTCTCCAGATCAGGGTGCGAAGCTCTGAGGCCGGTGCTCCCAGGCTGGCTCCCGAGAGCTCGCGATCCTTTTAAAAACCAAGAACCTTCTTCTCGTTGCTTTGTCCATATTGCCTCCCAGGAGAGTGAGCCCCGCAGGGCAGCGTGGTCAGTGCCAGCTCGGGCCAGAGACTGCTGCTGGGACAGCCGATGCCCAGCCGTCCTTGTGCTTGCCGTCCCGAGAGGCTCTCCACTGAGATCCCGGCTCCTGCAGAGCAGGGCGGGGGGCTCGAGCACCTCCAGCTCCGCCAACGTGGGGCCCCTGGCTCAGGACTTAGAAGGGGTTTCAGGACAGGCCAGGGTGCCTCCGGCACGTGGGGCGAGCCTGGCCCCGAGTGGTGGACCAGGAGGCAGGTGGGAGGGCGGCCGGGCTGGCCACGCATCGCCTCCGCCCCGGTTCCACGGTGGCCTGTGGCTGCTGCTCTGAGGGACAGCCCTGTGTGAGAGGCCTTTGTGGGTCGCTTTCACTTTGCTGTGTGGAAACCAGGAAGACAGCCCTGCTGCCCAAACAAACGCACTGGCTTTTGTGTTTTTAATTATAATAAATGCGCTGACCTTCTTTTAAAAATTTTAATTACGTCGGAAGAAACTCAAGCTGTGCTACTCGCTCAGAAGTCTGGTGAAGGGCCGATGCCGGCCCTGGCTTTCTGGTGCGACCTTCGGTTTTGATTTGAATGCGTGTCGGTGGGACAGAGGGGACTTGCCGCCGTGGAAGCCACTGTCCCATGGGGACCAGGGTAGGCTCCCAGGGCCCTGGACGCTTTCTTCCACTGTGGCACCCAGGACGGGGGTCCCAGAGCCTCTGTGAACCCCTGTGCCGGTGGGCAATGGTGGGGGGTGGGTCCCCCGGCCTCAGTGAGCAGTGTTGGTCTGGCTCGTTGGTGACAACACCCTCCGGATGCTGCTCAGCGTGCCGATGGGCACCCTTTGTTAGCGTCCCTTCTGTCCTGGGTCTCGTGGGGGATGGGCTAACGTCACATGTGCGGGTGAAGCAGGTGGCGGGGGCGACACGGCTCTGAGGTCCCGGTGTCTGAGTTCGCTGTGGAGGAGCCAGACAGCGTGGCCGGCGCCCGACCC